TACAGGCTGGGCGGAGAATGGATTGAGAGCAGCCCTGAGGAAAAGGACTTGGGAGAGCTGGTGGATGAGAAGCTCAACATGAGCCGACAATGTGCACTGGCAGCTCAGAAAGCCAACCGTATCCTGGGCTGTATCAAAAGTGCAAGGTCCTACATCTGGGTCGTGGCAATCCCAGGCATAAATACAGACTGGGTGGTGATTGGATCGAGAGCAGCCCTGAGGAGAAGGACTTGGGAGTACTGGTGGACGAGAAGCTCAATATGAGCCGGCAATGTGCTCTTGCGGCCCAGAAGGCCAACCGCGTCCTGGGCTGCATCAAGAGGAGCGTGGCCAGCAGGTCGAGGGAGGTGATTCTCCCCCTCTACTCTGCCCTCGTGAGACCTCACCTGGAGTACTTCGTCCAGTTCTGGAGCCCCCAACATAAGAAGGACATGGACCAGTTGGAGAGGGTCCAGAGGAGGGCCACGAAGATGATAAGAGGGCTGGAGCACCTTTCCTATGAGGACAGGCTGAAAGAGTTGGGGCTCTTCAGCCTGGAGAAGAGGAGGCTCCGGGGGGACCTTATAGCGGTCTTCCAGTACCTCAAGGGGGCCTACAGGAAAGATGGGGAGAGGCTGTTCAGGAGGGCCAGTTGTGATAGGACAAGGGGGAATGGTTTTAAAATAGAGGGAGGTAGATTCAGGTTGGATATTAGGAAAAAATTTTTTACCATGAGAGTTGTAGAACACTGGAACAGGTTGCCCAGAGAGGTGGTGGATGCTCCATCCCTGGAGACGTTCAAGGCCAGGTTGGATGAGGCCCTGAGCAACCTGATCTAGTTGGAGATATCCCTGTTCCTTGCAGGGGGGTTGGACTAGATGCCCTTTGAAGGTCCCTTCCAGCCCTAACCATTCTATGATTCTATGATTCACGCACTGAGTAGTTCCCTTCAGCTCACCTCTGCTCCTGGGCAGCCAGGCTTTTCCTCCTTAGTACCCAGCCAGCACCACCTGAATCCTATCCCCTCACCTTACTGCATGTATCCCGAGGAACTTTGCCTCCCCTCTTTGGTCAGAAAACCCAGACCTCATGATTTCAGCAGTTTAAATCGAAGTTTTACAACGCAGGGTTGCAAAGTCCACCCTCTCGACTCTTCTGGCAGAACTGCAGGGCCCTGCCCAGGGTCTGGCTCTGCGGGTGAGTCACTCTGCCTCAGCAATAAACCGCAGCCCTATAGCGGTTTTTAGGGAGAAGAGGGGAAAATAGCTCACCCGGCGTCACCTCTCGGGTGAGGTTTGTTTAAACAAAAAAGTCTACTATGGAAATTCGTGTCTGATGGCTTCAGCTGCCAACATCTCTCACTCAAATAAGCGCTTGAGACATGAACTAGTGATGCTCACCGGTCCTGACCGAAGGCTGCTTCCCGCTGCCGTGGGGATGACAGCCTTGCGAGGCAGAGCCGAGGCATCTTCTCCTCCGTTTGTCGTTGCCTAATCCCTTAACTCAGTGGAAACCTCTGGGCAGCTGTGTGCTGAGGAGATCCTCCTGGCCTGCGGACGCTCACGATGTGCGGGTTTCAAGACATCAGGGCAGTCACCTTAACTATAGTGAGGGATCTGTCAGGATGTCTCTATTCCTGAAGACAAGCATCGCTTTGGAATTCTTTATTTCACGGTTAGGATGGCGGCTATAAGGTCTTACGTTTGCTTTCATAAAGGTAAAACACTTTGAAGAGGCCAAAAAGAAGACTGAACGTATCCACAAACATTTAAAGCAGCAGTTTTTGAAAGAACAGGAGAGGAAGATGGCACGGTGGAAGAAGGCACCTCAAAGGTCTGAAAAATCACTGGAAGTGTTCAGTCGCAGATGTGGGAAGCTGTCCGTCCCTTCTGCTGATGGTTTGTCTGCAAGCGAAGCGACGCCCTTGGAACACGCAGCTGCTGCAGAGGGAGAAGGAACCAAGAGACACGTCCAGAGAGCTCCTCCTGCGGGCTGTCCCGGGGCTCTGGCCGTGTCCTGCCAACCTACTTGAATTTTCAGTCTGTTCTCGCCGAACGCCCAGTCCTGTTATGGCAATAAACCAGCACCATCCCTCGCTCCGCCTCCTCCTGCTGCCCATTGATCTTTGAAATCGATGGGGCTGCTGGGGTTGGGGGGCCACGGGCTGTGGATGATTCAGGGAGCAGTGTGGCAGCGGCAGGATTCAAACACCTCCTCAAAGGGCTGGTTTCCTTTGAGGCAATGGAAAAGGGATGTTGTCCCTGGTTTCGCTGGGATACAATCATGGAATCAGTTTGCTGTTCAGAAAAGCTGCATTTCTAAAGCAAGCCACATTTTTAAGGAGACTGCAGCACCCAATTTGGTGAGGACAAAGTTGATAAGACGCTTTTAGCTTGTAGCCCACCGTGGTATGCAGGTATCCACAGTGATCAAGGACTTTTCCACTTATTTTTGCTAAGGACCTGGATGGCCAAGAACCTGGGGGGGGAGCATGGCCAGGGCATTGACACCTAAATCAGCACGTGGGTATTCAATGCCATGCAACGTCATGCTCACTATAAAATGGAAAGTTTTTTTGGGACGGGCACTCTTTCTCAATGGTCACGATCACCCGTCGTCCTGCTCCCGAGGTCTACTCTCTCTCTTCCGAGATTGCAGTTTTGGGATTTTCCTGCTCTGGGGTTGCTAGCCAGAAACAGGATGGACATTGGCCAAAGGGTGGTGAGCAATTGCACCATGCATCACTTGTCAATAATAACAATAATAATAAATTGTATTGTATCGTATTGTATTTCAGTTATTAAATAGTTCTTATTTCAACCCACAGGTCTTCCTTCCTTTCCCTGATTCCCCTTCTTGAGTGAGGAAGGGTCACTGGGTAATGGATACAGGCTAAATGTAGACAGATGTGAAAGGGATAGAGTTTTTCTTGGCTTGTGCCTTTAGAGAGAATTCAAACAACATGTTTCACAGCTGGTTGGATTTCCAGAAGTGTTATCGGAGGTTCAGGGAGGGTAAACGAATCTGTCGTTGGGGAAAAAGAAGAAGGATTGGTGATTTAAGAAGCTTAGGAGAAAAAAAGCAAGGGATGGAGTATTGAAGGAGAGTGCCTCGAGGCACTGAAGAAGGGAGTGTCAACAGCAGATGGAGAAGGTGGTTGTAGGCAAGTAGAACTGGTCAACATTCCTCTTCCCTTTTCCCAAACCAGAGACATTCAGAATAACCTTTGAGTCTCCTCAGCAGGATGGGATCCAGCTTATTATTAGAGTGCGGAGCTGGGGAGATTGACATCATCCACCCCTACGGTGCTGTAACATTAAGTATATTTTGGCTATCCTTGAAATACATTCATCTCAACGGTTTTAAAAAAACTTGCAGTAAAGGAGATGCTGCAGTTTCCCAAAATGCCCTGGTTTTTCAGCCAGCGTTGCAATGTTGGGGTTTTCATAACATAAACCTTTCTTGCTTGAAATGAAGCTGATATTTTTGTATGTTTCCCAGTGGCCTTGAGGGAATAATTGGATG